TATAGACAATGGAATACAGCTCAGCCATAAAAAAGAATGAAATCCTATCATTTGCAGCAACACAGATGAGCCTAGAGGACATTATGTTACATAAAATAAGCCAGAAACAGAAAGTTAAACGCTACATGCCTCACTCAAATGCAGAAGCTAAAATATATTGCTCTCATAGAAATAAAGAGTAAAGAAGTCCCAGAGGCTGGGAATGGTAGGGGAAAGGGGAGATAGGGAGAGATTTATTAAAGGAAACAAAATTATAGCCAGTTACAAGGAATAACCTCTAGTGTTCTATATCACTCTAGGATGACCATAGTTAACATTAATATATTTTTTCAAACAGCTAGAAGAAAAATGATATTGAACATTCCCAACAGAAAGAAATGATCAGTATTTTTGAGATGCTGGATATGCTAATTACCTTGATCTGATAACTATACATTGAAACATTACTATGTACCCATAAAAACATGGAAATATGTGGGTATATATATGTGTGGGTATAACTATTATGTATCAATTTTTAAGATAAAAATATTTAAAGGTTTTATTTCAGAGCAGTCACAGAAGCTTTTTCTACTCCCAACTTGGATCTTGAACTGTGACTTTAAATTCCATCTTATCATTTTCTTTCTGTAAGTTCTTCAGCACATTTAGAAACAGTGAATCAACTCCACAGTCAGTATTCTCTTTGTTTGTGAAAAGGTTCTAATGCAGCAGATAATAACTCTGCACATTGCCTCTGTAGCCACTTAGATTATACAGGCACTAGGGGTGACTATAGGTGAGAATTTAAATAACTGTTGAATCCCACTTACCCCTGGCAATAGGGTCATTCATGTATTTAAATCTAGTCTTTAAATGTCTTTAAATCTAGAGAACACTTTTCAAATTTTATTTTTAAAGTTCTGTTTCCTGGAAACACTTCTAGTTGGTTCAGTCAGCAGAGCAGTGAGAGGAGATGGGAAAATGAAGGACTGTAAGAGGAGTTGGAGGATTAGAGGAGTCACCAGCCAATCAATCCAAGGGGCAGGCACAGCCAGCTAAGAAAAACTATGAATGGGTAGTCTGCAAGGAAATCTATGGGATGTTGTTGCCTCTGTGTACTTTCCTTCTTTATAGGTTCACAGCCAACATCTGGTAGCGAATCTGACTTTTCTGTTGGTCAACAGGACCAACAGTTGGAAAGAAAAAACGGGTCTGGAGCTCAAGAGAGCAAAGTCAAACTGGAATCTGCCAGGCACATACACCTCTGTCACTGCATCTGACTAAAAGAGAGTTGCAGGTTAATGGATACTGTTTCAATTTGGCCTTCAGAATCTCAAGGAAGTCCCTCTTCTGGTCAGTTCTCACCTAGAATCACACAGGGAAGGGGTACTCTGGGAAACATAATTGAATTTTTCACTATAGATTGTTAATACTACTTTAATTTTTAATTTTTCCTGTTTTGCTTTTATAGCAGTTATACCTAAAGTGAACATACATGTTCATATCCACTCTCAAAATAACAGCAAACTGTTTTAGTGCTTAATATATGCTGAGCATTCTGTTGGCCACTATACATATTAAACCTCAGAGCAACCTTTAAGATACCAATATCCTTCGTTTTTAGCTGAGGAAACTGAACCTCAGTGAGACTCAGAATCTTGCCCAAAAACACAAGTTAGTTGGATGTATAGAGGCTCCCTATTACATAAATACTGTGCATTCAATTACTCTAATTGCCACTGTTATTTACCAATTTTGAAAACATAAGAAAGGCACAGGATTTATATAACCCAATCACAGTCTTGCTTTTTAATCAAAACTATGCAAATAATTTCTAAATTATCTCAGTTTGATGAACCTCGACAGCTCATCTGATCATTGTACAGGTACTGGAGCTGGAAATACTTTCAGATGTTTCCACTGGCTTTTGGTAATCTTGAAAGCTAGAAAGAAAGAAAAAAAAAGAAAGAGAGAATAAAAGGGGAAAATGTGAATTATTAGGTTAGTGCAAAAGGATTTACAATCACTTTTAGTGGCAAAAACCACAATTACTTTTGCACCAACCTAATAATATATAAACAGTTTTGCCTAGTGAAGCCATATTTAATTGTATTTTTCCAATTCTTGTGGTTCAGAAACAATTACTATGGATGCAAATTCATCCATGGGAAAATGATACTGTATTTTTTTTTAAATGCTGTAAAGAAAGAGCAAATGATTAGTTGCATGGTAGGAGTTGAGAGGCCTCAGATATCCACATTCCCATCAGACTGCTCTTCCAATATAGTAACTCTTTATTTATATGTGTTTATACCCTATGTCACTCTTGAACAAAGCTATTATTGACAATAAGGCACTAGAAACCCTAACCCAGTATTTTTTAAAATTATGATCAAGTAACTTATTTTTTAAGAGTTAATAAGAAAACAATGAAGGAGATGTTATGTGATCAGATAAATTTTGAAAATGTTAGAGTTAACAAAACAGAATGTCTCCACCTTCAAGATGAGCTTATGAACTATAAACTACCAGAAGAGAATTATACAGGATGTCATTTTGGGCAATGGAATACTTTTTCACAGAGTATGGTTGGAATACAGATTTAAAAATGAAGCACCAAGGCATTTGTTAAAAGTTTAACTGGATTATCAATTTTCAATCATAGTTAAGTCCTAATAGAATGGAAGGGACAACAGCAATCATCATTTATTGATCAAGGGGCGTCATTAGGGTCTTCAGACATGACTCATTTGGAAGAGACCATGTTATAGTACTGCTCTTTTGTGAAGTATCCTTTAGTGTAAAGGCCCTTAAAACAAAAATTTGAAGTACAGTATCAAACAAAAGATGAGAAGACGAGAGGATAAATTATCACTGTAAGGTTTCAAAGGAGAGAAAAGTTATACCTACTAGGGAAAATATGTAAAGGTTTTGCAAAAGGTTAGGTATCGGCGATGACCCATGAATGACGTATTAGGAGGTAGTCGACAGCCATGGATGGGAAGGAATGTTTCTAGGCAGTAGAGCTGGCATTAGCAGAGACACAGGTTCTCACTTATAAGTGAGAGCTAGGAAATGGCTACACATGGATATGAAGATGGAAACAACAGACAGTGGGGGTTTTACAAGGGGGAGAAAGGAAGGGGGCCAAGGGCTGAAAAACCACCTACTAATACTATGTTGACTATTTGGGTAATAGGTTCACTAGAAGCCCAGACAACACCATTATGCAATATACTCATGTAATAAGCCTGCACCTTTACCCCCTGAATCTATACTTTAAAAAGTAAAAGCTTGATTTCCTGATAGTCAGGTAGGCTACCTACAGGGATAGCAATGAGAAATAAGAATTGATGGTTTGGGGGTAAAGGCAGACAAAGGATGGTGGGAGAGGACGGAGACTAAACTTGTAAGTAGAACAAGACAGTATTGAAGCCTTGGGCAACTAGGGAATGACGGAAGTATTGAAAGGAAGGACGCCTAAGGAAAACTGAAGGCTCATACCACCTACCTCATGCTTTGGCTAAGGAAAAAGCCTAATCAAATATATTTGGATCTAGGTTCTGTGTTTCTGCTTGCCAATATAGAAAGCCAAAGACAAGTAAATTTCTTCTTGAAGGTGTGTGTTATTCCCCAAAGAATCTTTTAGGAAGAGCAAGCAGCCTGAGAAATATTTGTTCATTAGATATATTCTGGCAGCAAGCAGGAAAATCCAGAAAGTACCAAGCACATGCACATACACATAATACACTTGATTCTTGAAACACTTGTGGTTTCACTGTTTTGTTATTAACTGTCATTATGAAGTACCTATTACTTTCTCTAGTAAATGCATTTATAAAACCATCCAAACCTATTTAAATATTGTAAAATAGTGATAGAGTTTGGGTCCAAAACATTCTCAGAGAAAAAGTTAACTGCTTAATTCAGTTTTACAACTATAAGTAGGGCAGATATTTTTTTAACACACCCCCTCATGTTTATTGCTGTGAAGAAGGTAAGTACTCTCCAGTGTCTTGCTTGATTCAAGAACATCCTGGCTGCTGACTCTTGTAAGCTGTATGGCACTCTTCTGAGATCTAGTGCTGATACATTCCACATGTAACCCCACTGCCCCTGGAAGAGAAACTTTCCTGCTGAGTCAGAGGGGTTTATAGAGATGCGAAATTAACAGACAACCTATGTCTTTTAGAAACTGCTAATATATCTATCCTTTGCCTTCTCCCAAGTGGGAAAGTTTCTGCTCCCTCCAGATGGAAATCCATACTTTCTCAGTGAGAAGTATGGGTCACCTAAAGCAGAGTCCCTTGTAAAGAGAGAACATATCTCCATTAAAGTCATCACAACTTGCTGGCTGGCTACAGCTGCCCACAGACTCACTCCCACCACCTTGGCTCTCTTAACAGCAGATGGGTTCACTTAGAAGAGCGTGTCATCCAAATCCAGCAGCCATGTTTTTTGGGCGGTCCAAACGTGCCGTGTGAACACCAAAGCATGTTGTTAAGAGCATATACAGCTGGGAACAGAGCCAAGGGGACCTAAGATAGTGAATGGGTCAAGGTAGTAGATTGGGGCACTACATTACTGTAGCAAACTATAAAGCAAATTCTTGCCATTTCCCTCCCCGTAACAAAGCTGACAACCTAAACCTGGTTAGGTTTCACAAGAGTTGAGGCTCTGGGAGTCAAAACATGAGAAGAAACATAATCCCGAGTATCACATGTGAGGCTGCGGAGGTAGGGCCTGGTCAGCTGTGTTAACTCAGCAATGTTCAAAGAGAAAAGTCAAGCACTGTCTCTCTATACGTGACTGTTTCCTGTGCTCCACATTGCGGGTTGTAACACTGAGATTCTGGCAGCCTTTATTCAAACAATAGTTTCCCTTAAATTGTTATTTCTAACTCTGAATGAAGAGACATTCAGTGCTACACATATCTAATTCTGTCATCCTATTAATTTTAATGAGTACAGCCCCATCTGTTCCAGTCAAGCACCCTCAGTGTACATGTGTGTGAGAAAGGTAGGGCAGTGTGCTGCTTTGTTTCTTCGTCCCTGTGCATTGACGTATCATTTTGAGAGCAGTGACTGTGTGCAGCTGAGAGGCCTGGTTTCAGATGCCGGTCGGAGCATCCTCAGGCACATTAATAATGGAGGAGTCTGACAGGAGCAGCTTTGCCTGCCTTTGTTTTCCACTGTAGGTGAAGGGAGACATGGATCTCTCTGTTTTGCCAAATAACAACCATCCTGACAAATTCCTGCAGCTTGACGTAAAGTCTTTAATGAGGAGCTCAGCCCTCCTTCAGGCCAGCCTGGCGAGGTTTCCGGGTGGAAATTATCCTGCTGCACAACACTGGCAAAACCTTGTCTACTCACAGGTAAGATCGAGTGGCACAAAAATACGGGTACGGGGGCTTGTTTCTTTCTCGCCATCTGCCATTTCACCATTTATGCAAAAAGAAGCCTATAGGAACAGAGTACAAGGTGGCTACTCTGTCTTCCAACTTAGTCTTTCTCTCTTCCTTAACATTAGGAACTTTTCTTTATTTATAAAATAAATGAATTCTCTCATTCATTAATTCCCCTCCAAGCATTAGCTTCTCTGCCTGTCTTCATTTGAAATTTCAGGTGGCCCTCCTTTACTCCTTCCCTTCAAAAATTTTCAAAATAATTGTTATATACACAAATAAGACTTTGGGGGAAAAACTCCCATCTCTATCTTTGGTGTAATCTAAGCATAAAGCATCAGAAGTTTACATTGTGGGCATAAACAAGCCTCTAAAACAGCTGGAGGTCTTGCTTCTGCTTCCCTTGGACTAGCTCCCTGTCATAGCATACACAGAAGACTTAGAGAACAGAACAATGGAAACCTAATTATTGAAGGGAAAAAATACAGCGAACTCTCCACCTTGAAAAAGTGCTAGCTATTATTGTAGATATTCTTATTTTCCACAGGTGTCCATGTGGACAAGGAATACCAATTAGACCTTCAAACAAAATGCAGGTTTTATTTCTCTTTTCTTTTGCATTTTCCTTCTTTTCGCTGACCAAAATAGAAGAATAAAACTGTGATGAGTTCCATCTGCTGGAATAAACATAAAGGCCCTAACTGTTGCACAGCTAATGAAACAGGAATAATCTTTGCTTTAAGACATGAAGGCTAATGGGGTTAAGAGTTAGTCAATTTAGAAACAGGAAGAAGCATTTCATTACAGAACAGATGTGACTGACCTACAAAACCCTGCAAGTCATTAAATCCTTTGGAGTGGCTCAAATTCCCTGAACAGAAATTTGTTTTCTTTTAAGAACAGTTGCTACTCATGAGCCCTGGTGTAAAGTGACTCCTTTGTGGTATGTTTGTGGGCTCCTCGGGACCTCTATCATGAGATCATTCAAAAGCAAGTACACTCAAATGATTATGTAAGTGTTTCCTCCACCTATAAGGATTTTAATTTATTTCCATTGTAAGGCAGCCTATTATGACAACTGGCATTTTTTAAATTTTGCATCAATCTCTTTGGTAATCCTCAAACCCTTCTGCCATTTCATACCCAGCCATGTTGTTGCTGTTGTATTTGTAGATGTGCTTCTTTTTTTAGTTTTAAATGAAATGAAATGAAATTGCTCCTTTTTCCTCCTTATTGTTTATAACATAGAATAAAATGATTCAAAAATCAGTTCAGAAAACTTGGCCCTTCTATGCTATGCAGTTTAGTCTAAGAAAACATATCCAGTAAATTCCTTTGAGGTTGGAACACATTGATCTAACATCTTTTGTTTGGTACTGAAGTTGACCTATTTCCTTCATGTGGAACTTCACAGTTTAAAACTCTATTGAATGTTGTTCCTAAACCTAAATGAAATGCAAATTTTTAAAAGGCAACTTTTTCTACAGGCCCCATTGGGTGGAAATAGTTATTCAAAGAAAAACCGAAGAGGTAAACTTCTGTTTCATAGGTCTTTGAATATGTGGTGTTAACATTATAAACTTCAAATAAACTTGATTTAGTTATCCTTTTAGCCTAAGAAGAAATGTAGTGAGGGCCAGTGTACTAATTGGCCAATTAATAATGCATGGAGTGGAGAGGCAGGACAGTACATCAAGAACAAATTCAGGTAATCAGGTAGGTGTGGCACAAAATATGAGTAACAACAACGATATTCACCACTTCATTTTGCAATGCATCAGTAAATAATTCTCTTTTGGGGATGGATCTTAAAATCCATGATTGATATATTCATTGGATAAAATAATAAATGTCATAGAAATAGCCATATAGAAGTTTTAAATATTTGCCATGATACCACGATACCATTCCATGAAAGAAGACACTGAATATACAAGTATATTGAGGTGTTAGGCACACATAAGGTGGTGGCTACCGAGTAGCTCTTAATTTAAAGCTCTCACTCCACTGGTGAGTCAGTAAGTCAACGGGAAGAACATGGAATAAAGAAATTAGAAACTTGGTCTCTTATCTCAAAGTCACAATAAACCAGTTTTAGAGACATCTATCATGGCCCTTCATTCATGCCTCAGTATTTCCACTTGCAGTATTAGGATAATATTTATTTTAGATATTTCCTTAAAAGTGAGAGCAAATGAAACATGAGTAAAAGCAATTGAGAGCCAGATTTTCCTATAAAAGATCAAGAATATGTATGGAAGTATGTACATATGTATTGTTATTTATACCAGTATTTCAAAATGTATTAAAGTTATCTTTTCATTAGAATTTATTAGCAAATAACTTCATTTCCATTATTTTATAAATATTGTGGATGAAGGGGTATGTGTATATGTGTGCCCATGGTGGTTGAGGGAATGTACTTAATAGATATGTCAACCTGTGTGACTAACCCAAGCAGTAGATATAATATCACATGAAATCTACACAAACTCCAGAGTTGTGTCAACTGATCCTTTCATCCCACACCACACAAGTGCATCGTGTTTAGGATATAGACTACTTTATGGAATGGCAAAGCACTTAACCTGCAGTCATTACCTTCAAACTCAGGGTAACCCAGGAGTTAAAACAGACATTCCCTAGATTGGAAATGTCACGTTGAATTCTTAAATATAGGTATCGTTTTACTCTCAATGATTTATCGTTTAATTTTTAAAATTCACTTTCCATTTTCAGAGGAAATTCTCTTGGCCATTTTTATATGAGCTAAAGCAATACCATTCAATCTATTTTTTTTTTCTGAGACATAGTCTCGCTCTGTCACCCAGGCTAGAGTGCAGTGGCACAATCTCAGCTCCTTGCAACTTCTGGAGATTCAAGCGACTCTCGTGTCTCAGCCTCCCTAGTATATGGGATTACAGGCACCCGCTACCAGGCCAGCTAATTTTGTATTTTTAGTAGAGATGGGGTTTCACCATGTTGGCCAAACTGGTCTCGAACTCTTGCCTCAAGCTATCCACCCCACTTGGCCTCCCAAAGTGCTCAATTATAGGCATGAGTCACCATACCTGGCCTCAATCTAGGAAAATAAGCAGTGATGGTCTCAGTTGATTCAGTAACCAGGGACATTGTAATTCCCATCTATGCAGATACTCAGGTCACCCATATTTGCCGAGAGTATACACAGATATTATTTGATTCTATTATATTTATACTTCTCGTTAATTCTTTCACCAAAGAAATAAAGAAGCTTCACAACAAATTTTATGTCAGTACAATGAAGAAACATTCACCAAAATCTAATGTTTCTAACTGTTAAAATAATTTGGGGGATGTATCTGATGAAGGCATTTAGAAATGTATTCCAAATACTTCTGCCAACCGCTTTATAAAACAAGTAATGAAAAAAAGGCTGATTTTTAAAAAATGTGATAAAATATGTGGTTTTCAAACAATCCCATCAAAAAGTGGGTGAAGGATATGAACAGACACTTCTCAAAAGAAGACATTCATGCAGCCAACAAACATGAAAAAAAGCTCATCATCACTGGTCATTAGAGAAATACAAATCAAAACCACAATGAGATACCATCTCATGCCAGTTAGAATGGTGATCATTAAAAAGTCAGGAAACAACAGATGCTGACGAGGATGTGTAGAAATAGTAAGTCTTTTACACTGTTGGTGGGAATGTAAACTAGTTCAACCATTGTGGAAGACAGTGTGGCAATTCCTCAAGGATCTAGAACCAGAAATACCATTTGACCCAGCAATCCCATTACTGGGTATATACCCAAAGGATTATAAATCATTCTACTGTAAAGATACATGCACACGTATGTTTATTGAGTCACTGTTCACAACAGCAAAGACTTGGAATCAACCCAAATATCCATCAGTGATAGAGTGGATAAAGAAAATGTGGCACATATAAACCATGGAATACTATGCAGCCATAAAAAATGATGAGTTCATGTCCTTTGCAGGGACATGGATGAAGCTGGAAACCATCATTCTCAGCAAACTATCACAAGAACAGAAAACCAAACACCACATGTTCTCACTCATAAGTGGAAGCTGAACAGTGAGAACATATGGACACAGGGAGGGGAACATCACACACCAGGGCCTGTCAGGGGTTGGGGGGCAAGGGGAGGGATAACATGAGGACAAATACCTAATGCATGCAGGGCTTAAAACCTGGAGGATGGGTTGATGGGTGCAGCAAACCACCATGGCACATGTATACCTGTGTAACAAACCTGCACGTTCTGTACATGCATCCCAGAACTTAAAGTATAATTTTTAAAAAAATTCAAAGGGCAAGAAAGAAAAATGTATGTCTTTTTTTTTTTTTTTTTTTTCATCTATTGTAGTGGGCCCTAATTTTCTAATTAGCAGTTGTACATCAGAATATTTTCAGATTAACTCCTTTGTTATATCTTTTCCTGTCTTCTATCACATCAGTTTCAGAACCAAGGAGCATTCCAAACTAAACCCGGGAGATGGAGGGAAAGGCTAAGGGTGAGAGGCTGCTCTTCCATTGATTTCTAGACAATGTCATTTACTGAATGTATTTCCTAATCACCTTTCTGCACTCTTTTCCAATCCAATCACACTCTTTTTTTCCCATAAATTTCAATGTCTTTCCTTTTTATCATGGGTTTTTTTGTGTATAACTGTATTTCTTCTATCTCTGAACACACGTCATGCCTTCCTAAAACTGTCTCTATTTTCAATCTTCCATTTATTATTTTGAAAAAGACAGTGCAGGGGCCGGGCGCCATGGCTCACACTGTAATCCCAGCACTTTGGGAGGCCAATGCGGGCAGATCACTTGAGGCCAGGAGTTCAAGGTCAGCCTGGCCAACATGGCAAAACCCCATCTATACTAAAAATACAAAAATTAGCCTCGCGTGATGGCATGGCCTGTAATCCCAGCTACTCAGGAGGCTGAGACATGAGAAACGCTTGAAGCTGGAAGGCAAAGGTTGCAGTTAGCCAAGATCGTGCCACTGCACTCTAACCCAGGCAACAGAGCAAGGCTCTGTTTAAAAAAAAAAAAAAAAAAAAAGTCCCAGGACTTTGGGAGGCCGAAGCAGGTGGATCACCAGATCAGGAGTTCGAGACTAGCCTGGCCAACATGGTGAAACCCCATCTCTACTAAACATACAAAAAATTAGCTGAACTTAGTGGTATGTACCTGTAATCCCAGCTACTCAGGAGGCTGAGGCAGGAGAATTGCTTGAACCCGGGAGGTGGAGATTGCAGTGAGCCGAGATCACGCCATCGCACTCCAGCCTGGGCGACAGGGCGGGACTCCATTGAAAGAAACAGAGAGAGAGAGAGAGAGACAGAAAGAAAAGGAAAGCTGCACAATACAATAGTCTATCCTTTCTAAGCTTATATTGGATGACAATGTGGTACTTTGCAGGTGAATATATTATCTAGGAAGTAGACTGATAGCATCATCAAGTTCCTCAGGGTACCAAGTTATACTAAATTTATAGGATTAGGGAATTGGCTTTGGATGGTGTATTTCCAAAAACAACACCCAAATTGCTCCAACAAACTGTTCTTAGTTGAGATCCAAATGTCTCTGGCATGAAAGCCTATATTAAGGGTACGTTGAATGTTATAACACCACCTGTGAGCACCAAGAGCCCTGGTTATATGCAGGGGAAGGCAGGAGATGAGGTTTCAGAGAAACCTGGATCACACCAGAGGGTCCGTGGGCTTTGTCTATGATTTTGAATTTTATCCCAAAAATTTTGAAGAATCAGTGAAAAATTAAAGCAAAAGAATGCCACAGTGAAATATGTGCTTTACAAAGCTTTCCATTCTAGCAATTTAAAACAAAAATGGTATGTTCACAAAAGAGCTGATTTTCTGGGAAAGTTTGTCTATGTGCTCACATAGGAAATATACACAAAATGCCTTGTTTTCACGAAGATTATGATAAAGATTACACTGAATGTACAGATCACAATGCAGAAAACAGAAATCATTATGACTTTGATTCTCTCCATCCGTGAACATGATGTATCATTTTATTTATTCAGTTCTTCATATGGCCTTCAATAATATCTTTAATTTCCACAAAGAACTATTCCATATAATTTGCTAGGTTTATATCTAAATACTTATATTATTTTTTCTCTTGATAATAGTACGTTTTAAGTCATGTTTTATAATAGAGCATTACTCATGCATACAATAGATCATTACATACTGATTTTGAATCCAGGAAATAAAATCTCTTATTTTCCCCATAAACATCCCTGCAGATAACCATGTCATCTGCTATTTGTTTATTTATAACCCTATTTCTTTTATCTACTTATGTTTCTATTATTTTTGCATTGCTTTGAACTTCCACTGCAAAATTATATGGACATTGTGATTACTAGCATCCTTGTATTAATTCTGAAACTAAAATAAGTGTTTCTAATATTAAACCATTAAGTAAACTGTGTTCTGTAAGTTTGGGGCCCATTCCCTTAATTAGCTTAAGAAAATTTTCTACCAGTTCTAGTTCACTAAGAGTGTTTGTTTTGAATATGTTTGAATATTTTGAAAGTCTTTTTCTGGCCTATTGTAAAATTTAATGTTTTTTTTTCCTGTTAATGTGGTAAATTTCATTAGTATTCTAATATTAAACCATCCTGTTGGCATAACATCTTTCCCTGGTAAAAATCTCTTTTATCTTGTTACATATAATTTGTACATATTGTAGTATTCTGTTCAGCAATATTGCATTTATAATTTTGCATTTATGTGTATAAGAGAAATTGGCTTATACTTTTCTTTCACTTACTGCCCTCATCTGAAGTTTATACTAATTTCAAAAGTGAGCTGGGAATTGTTCCTTTTCCTATTTTCTGGAAGAATTTGACTAAGAAATTATGTATTTTGAGAATTATAGAAGTTGACTGTAAAACCCTCTGGTCTGCTGTTCTTAAATGTGTATGTTTGGAGGAGATTTAAAACTATTGATTCGACTAGTCAAATTATCACATGTTTGTTAATTTTTTTATTTTTTCCTCAATAAGTTTGGTAAGTTACATTATGTAAGAAATTGTCCAACTGCACATAAATGTTTAAAGTCGCTCAGTTTATTTTCTGATTGTTTCTTAATCTCTGCTGTGTCTCTTGTCAGTTCCCCTTTCCATTCCTAACTGGGTGGATTTGTGTCTCTATTATTTTTCTTGAGCAGTATTGCCAGAGATATTTTAAATATTTTTCCAAAGAAATAGCTTTCAGCTTTATCTTCTCCATTGTATATACTTATTCTCTTTAATATGTATTGATTCTGTCTTTATATTTATGATTTCATTTTGACTGTTTTATTATATTAATTCAATGGCTTTAATTTTAAGACATTGAATTCATGCTTACTACCTCATTAATTTTCTCATTCTGCTTTATAATGCAAGCATATGTGCCCATAATATTCTCTCGAAATACCATTTCAGATCCAGCCAACAATTTTGGAATGTAGCATTTCTCACTTTCATTCTGTCCTAAATTTTAAAATGTTTATTATTATTTCTTTGAAATGTATTTTTAAATGTCAGCAGAATGTGTTATTTTATGTTTTTGATAATGATTTCTAGATTTATAACTAAGTTGTCAATGGTCGAAAAGCATGGTCCACATAATACTGAATCTTTGAAATTTGTTTTGGAATTTAAGATGTTATCAATTTTGTAAAATTTTCAGTGTATATTTTTAAAATGAATATTTTCAATTGTTTAATAAAGATATCTATATATGTCACTTGAACAAACCTTTTGATTTTATGGCTCACATCTTCTTTATCCTTTTTTCCCCCATAAGTTATTGAGGTACAGGTGGTATTTGGTTACATGAGTAAGTCCTTTAGTGGTGATTTATGAGATTTTGGTGCACCCATCACCCAAGCAGTATCCACTGCACCGTATTTATACTCTTCTATCCTTCACCCCCTTCCACTTTCCCTCCAAGTCCTCAAAGTCCATTGCATCATTCTTATGCCTTTGTGTCCTCATAGCCCAGCTTCCACATTATCAGTGAGAACATATGATGTTTGGCTTTCCATTCCTGAGTTACATCATTTAGAATAATAGTCTCCAATCTCATCCAGGTTCTTAATTCTTATTGATGGTTTTGCATGCTTGAGAAATTTACATGTATAAATTTCTCCATGTAATTAAGTTTTGTTTTATAAATGTTGAGACTATTTTATTAGATGCATACAAGTTTAGAATGACAATATTTTACTAATGTTAACTAACTTTATTCATTTTCTAGCAACCTTCTTTATATCTAGCAAAGTTTTTGACCATGTCTATTTTGTCTAGTGTGTGTGTGTGTGTGTGTGTGTGTGTCTTGGTGGTTAGTCTAGCTAAGATATGTCATGGAAACAAATATACCAAAATGTTTAGTGACTTAATATATGTTTCATTCACACAAGGCCCGATGTATATGTTATAGATGTCCTAGGAGACTCACTTTTGAGTAGAATCCAAGCTCCTTCCTTCTTGAGGCTCTACAATATCAGAATCTCTATTAAGCTTTAAATAAGAAAGGGAAAGGTTAAGCCAAGGATCTTGCGAGGAATTTTACTGGTCAAATTTGAGTTTCATTAGGTCTGCTGAGCATCTAGTGAGGCTTAACCCAGTAAAAATATATATATACATGCAAACATATATGTATATACACACATACATACATGTGTGTATATTTATACATAATGGTATATGAATATATTATATATGCCATATGTATCACCTAGTGTGTGTGTATATATATATCATCACATATGTATAATCATCTTCTGCTATATAGAGCACATTCACAAGAGTCCTGAGATGTGTATAGTATCATAAAAAAAGAAAGTGAGCCAAAATCATGTGGAAGATTTCAAGGGGAAGACTTGGAAATGGTCTTTCATCCACATGTCATTAGACATAAAACATGTGGCCCCAATATAAAATCAAAAACAGATTAGGAAAAGCAGATATCCTCCGTGCTTAGAAAGTGGAAACAAAATGAGTGAGCATTTCGTCAGTCACAACACCCAGTTCTCATTGTTTATATTTGCCTAGTATAAATTTTTATATTTTTTTATTCTAATTCTTTCCGAATCTTTATATTTTAGGCATTTCTGTTGTAAATATTTTATAATTTAATTCTTTTTTAAAAATCTGATCTGACAATCTCTGTCACTGCAATAGGGAGTTTATTCCATTTACATTTAATGTGATTATTTATAATTGTTTTTCTATGGTTCTGAGATTTTCCACCTGTATTCTTTTTTTTGAGCCTTTTTAAAGATTGTTTAGTCTTCATCTTTTTCCTACTGCTCTGGTGACTTGGAAGCTGTACATTGTTTCTTTGCTTGTTAGCAATATCTCTATATCCTCACTGAAATTATTTCTTAAAAATTTCTAATTAAAAAATCTGTGTTAAACTTACTATACTCCAGTGTATTCATTTCTCTTACTTTAAAATTCACAAATTAGTGATTATTACTATTATCTCTATTTCACCTAAATCAATGCTTGCCTGGATTCACAGACACATTTATCAGTTTTTTTCTTTCTCTCTCTCTTTCTCTCTCAAATTTCTCTTGTATCTTAAACATCTGTTATCAACTTTCTTCTTCCTGAATTATATTTTTAGAGTTTTTACAATAACCTATTAATTTTGTACACTTAATTTTATTTGTTCAAAAATGCCTTCTATCTCTCTTTATTGAATTGTAGTTTACTTCACATAGAGTATATAATGATTAAAGTGTATAAATGATAAATGAACAAAGTTATGCTTAATACAGAAAAGCCTAGGTAGATTTTAAAGTGTTACCTTTTTAAAATAAATATGTTAAAATGTAATTTATTTTAGTGCCCAAGTAATTAAAGTAATTGAATTACTGTTGAGTTATCCTGCGGTAAATGTATTCTTTCTTGTGCGATAGAGTGAAGGGTTTTTTGTTGTTGATGTTCTGAAAGCTATTTTAAAAAATTTATCAAGATTCAAATAAAAGCTCAACCAAAATCAGTATTGCTTATTTTGTGATTAAATTCATAATAAATTTATACTGTTAATTTTTCTTCGCCTGTCTCTCAGACATAAAATTCACATGCAGTGCAAAAATAAATAGTACTATGCTCTATAATAAACCTCACAACTTTCAAAAATATCATCTAGAAATAAGAGCTTGAATGTTCTTTTAAAATGTATCTCTGAGTATTTTGCTATTTTTACACATTAGATTTTCTAAGTCTATATACATTGTAATAGAGTGTGTACTTTTTTTCTTGATCTCCCCAAAACTGTATTTTCATGTATAGATCTTTCCTATTTAAGAAACTTAACCAACAGTGTAGAAGACAATCTGACAAAGCCAATTTGTCAATGTCAGGAGAATTATCCCTCTTCAGAGATGATCAAAGATGCCTAGCTTGAAGAAAAAAAATAAGTAAAAATTATGCTAAGCTCATACCATTTACATTTCTTATCAAATTACTTTTGCTCAATTCAGAAACATTACTTTTCAAGCAATCTATCTTTGAGATAAATGCTAAGCCAAGAAGATTTATTATTTCAATGCAAACTTCAGTTTTAAAGAATATAAATTGACTTTGAGCAGACCAAGGACCTATTAAAGTCAGAGAGGTGTCTGCAAGTTGAGCTCTAAGAATGTGAAAAATGCATGGATTAAGAAAATTAGGGAAATCCAACACCGAAGAGAATGGGAATGATTTTATCTAGATGATTTTTTTTCCTGCTAGCCATTTCAGAAGGAAACTACATTTAACAGTTTACACCTTTAGCTTATATAATATAAATTAATATGACCTATATACCAACAAATGTTGACAGCATCAAATAATCATAAATATGACTCAGAAGAATAAACTTCCTATTAAATATTCTCCGTTTTGGGTGTCTAAAATACATGACATACATTTACTGAAAAATACCTGTAAATTAAGGAAATGAACCACTTCTTTTTAAAGATAAAAGATTATCTAATATTAACTTATATGCAATCCCTCTCTTGATGTCCCATGACAAATGAAACATGACTCTATAAGCTTTTTGATTCTTCTCAATTTGTATTTGACCAATGAACAAATTTTAATTTCCAAAATGAACACATTTTTAATTTCTACCTTAATGATAGCTCGATACACTTAAGAAGAAAACAAAACAAAGTAAAAGTCTGAAGATCAAGCCAGACACAGAAAAGCACACATTATATGATTTTATTTATAGAAAATATGAGATGAGTCCAAACGAATCTATGCTGTTAGAATTTGGGTGCTATTATAGCTATGCTTTGGGCAGGGGGAGGGAGGGTGACTGGAAAGGAGCATGAGGTGTGCTAGTAATGTCATGTTTCTAGGTCTGGATGTTGAATCTTGAGTTTGTTTGGTTTGCAAGAATTTATAGAGCTATGTATTTCTATATATGCATATTATGCTTCAATTTAAAAAGTTTTTAAAAACCTGAAAGTCAGTATTAGAGCTATATAACAGCCTTTACACACACAGATGCTAAATTACACGTACAGTGCTAAGTTAGCTTCGACTTCAAAGCTGTCTGAAACGGGAGCCATGATAGTATTTGTGAAAGTCGAGGCATATCTCTAAAATGTCTTTTAATTTTGACTTTGCTGGATTAACATAGCAATATTAAATACTATTTTAATAAGTCATGGAATATAAAAATAGAGATAAATAAAATGTCATTAAATCTCAATGCAAGTAACCTAAGAAAAGTTGGCTTTGTTCAGAATTCTACTATTTGAATTTGAGAGTAAACAAGGCTCTTTCTCTGTAGTTATAAAATAGCATTTTAATGAATGATTAGTAAAGCTGTTCAAGATCACACAAAAAGAAAAAACTCAATTGATGTTAGATTTCTAGGTCAAATGAAACCATAGAATCCTTTCCTCATTCATTGTCCTAATCTGTTGGGTTTCTGCACAAAATCAGCACATTATCAGGTACAGTTATCTCACATTGCATTCCCTACTATCAGAAGGCCCGTTGCTAAGAGATGCCTTGTTTCTTTGCCTCTTAGAGGGAAAAGAAGAATATTGCTGCTCAGCGAATTAGGGGATCCAGTGCAGAGAGCCTTGTTACTGCTGATAGCCCTCCACCATCCATGTCATCAGTTATGAAGAATAACCCACTCTATGGTGACCTAAGTTTGGAGGAAGCTATGGAAGAAAGAAAAAAGAACCCATCATGGACCATTGAGGAATATGACAAACGTTCCCTGCACACAAACCTCTCTGGACATCTGAAGGTACTCACAACTAAGTGTCAACTTCTTCAACTGATAAGGGAGATCAGTCAAATAATCCTAAAAGAAAGCATTATTGAAGTGACAGGTATTCTTCACTAGGCACAGAATCTCTAGATTTCAGAGCATTTTGGCTCCTGGCTTTTCTTTCTCCCTTCTAGTCAGTATTTATGTTTATTTGTTTTGAGTTTTACAGTTTCGACAGTTACTGGCAACTGTATAGTATAGAGAAGAAAAAAACTATGTGGCACAGAACAAAGGTTTTCCAGGAGGGTAAAAGATTTATTGAAAATTAATTTGCAAGATTACGTTTTCTTTTAGTTTTTAAACATTTATGTTTGTGAACACTTAACAGCTGATTCCCTAGTCTACATTTATTAAAAAATACTTATTAAGTGTTCTGTGTTAGGCACTGTGCAAGGAAGTTCTCATCAAAGATTACTTTATCTCAGCTCTCTCAGTGATTTAAGATTGAAGATTTACATTTTGGTCATTTTCCTGTGTCTCAGTAACAAAACAAAACAAAAACATTTCAACACAGGAAAAGTATGCAATGAACTCATTCACCCAGCTTAAATCCAACTTAAGTTTTTCTTTCTTTGTTTGCCCCCACTGGTGTCACCCCAACCCATGAAAAACTTCAAAATACCTGAAAAGCAAGGAAGCAGCCCTCTGTTTTCTGAATGGACAGGATTCCTAGCCAGTCTTGGCTTGCCTCCACCTGCCCCAGGCCAGGAAGGCCTGCCATTTTCCAAGTACATACCCTTCATTCAAAAATGTTTATCTGTGCTAAGCCCCATACCTTACGCACTCGAGAATTTTTTTTTTTTTTTTTTTTGAACAGGACAGCACCCTGTCTCCTTGAATCCCACTCACACTTTTTATAATTTCAAATATGTGCTACTCAAAAGACCCACTGTCCAGAATCTTGGAAGTTTCTTAATCTCTTGGTAGATTGAATGTATCTCCTCTTTTATGTAGCCCGTTTTCCAGAGAAGTTTACATAACAGATGCTCTCCACAGAAACAATAAGCTTGTGTTTCTTTTTCCTTCTTTCTTCTTTTTATAAATTTTGCGTTCCTTACCAACAGTCTTAAGGACATCTAAAAAGTCACCCCTACTATTAGAAAAAAAAAGTATTGATACATTTTACAAACATTTCTTGACTGTATGTTAGGGCCTCTTCCTTTTGCTGATTACATGTAAAATAAGGGAACTATGGAGGTGAATGTTCCTGCTCCTACCCTCAAAAAGTTGATCTAACTGAGCAAATTAACAGACAATAACTATAGAACAAGATAAAGGAAACTAAAGGTAATAGAAAGCGCCATGCAGTGTTCTGACTCATAAGTGGGAGTTGAACAATAAGAACACATGGACACAGAGAGGGGAACAACACACTCTGGGGCCTGTGAGGGGTGAGAGGCAAGGGGAAGGAGAACATCAGCACAAATACCTAATGCATGCGGGATTTAAAACCTAGATGACGGGTTCATAAGTGCAGCAAACCACCGTGGCACAAGTGTAACTATGTAATCTGCATATTCTGCACATGTATCCCGGAACTTAAAGTTAAAAAAAAAAAATCTGTACCCCAAATTCTCATGATACACTTTACCTATAAAGAAAACTTGCACATGTAACCCTGAAGCTAAAATAAAAGTTCACAAAAAAAGAAAAGAAAATGCCCTTCCCTCACATTTGCCAATACTGGTTATTTTTCAAATAAATCATCAATGATTGGAAAAAATGTTAACACATTGTTTGCTGATTTTCATTTTTCTGATTACCAGGTGAGGCTGAACATTCTAGTAAAAGTATAAAACTTGTTCACTATAAAAGCCCAAATTAGGATTAGTGTAATAGCACATAATTATCTCCTGTTAAATGTTGCCATAGGCTTACCTGTGATACTCTTCATTCTCCGTTCTAGGAAATTGCTGCTTTTCAGGTTTTCTTCTCTTTCTTGTGGAATTAGTCCATCATCACCATTGCCAGCAGCAGCACAATCAGTCAGGTTTTCTGATAATCCCATGTTATTACTTCCGTGCTTCTTTATTTCTTCTTCAACACTGAGTGGAAGTTTCATAGTAAGAATGGTTATTACTTTATACAATAAAAAGAAGTTTTTGTTTCACTGAAAAAAAAAGAAGAAAAATATAAAAGAAAAAGTGCCATGTAGGATAGGAAGGGGGCACAAATCACATTTGATTATAAAAGGAATTCATGAAAAAGCAAACTTATTATGGGCTTGAAGGATGTATAGAATTCCAAAAGGTATAGATGGCTTGCCTAAGTGGGAAGGCTCTTTTTTCAGGAGTAGCAAGAGCAAAGGCAGAAATATAGGAGCTACAGGTTAAGTAATAGAATAATGGGAAAATAAGGCTAGAAAATAAAGCTAAAAAATGTTTGAATGTTATGCTTATGAAATTGAAGATTATTGGCAATAAGGAGTAATTTTTTAAGCTGGACAATTATATGAGTTATGTTAGGAAGAATGAGCCATAAATACAATGAGTGCCATGTTTTACTACAATCAGGACCTGCTCCCTCCCCTACTCAGTCATAACAAAAGCCATAACTTTTGTTTTCATTAAAATTTTTTCTACCTCATTAATTCAACTTTCATCTTCACCCCTGTCTATATCTCATAGACCCCCTAACTTATTTTCTGAAACCTTGACACCACTTTTCGGCTATAAACCCAAGTTCCTGTGGTCACTCCCATTTTTCTACATTGGTAAGAGTTTATAAGCCAGAAAAGAGAAAAGAAATCCATATTTAATTACAAAGGAAAGCTAGAAGCAGAATGTAAGACAAAATAGTCTCTATGAGTGAAGTTCTTAGTGGAGAACAGAGGCATTAAACTTACGAAGTGCAGGCCTCTGATTAGGACACAAAATGAAAGATAGGCATGAGGTAGAGAAGGATTTTTACATCATTATCCTTCTTCACAGATCATCCATATTTTATTTTAACATTTTAGCATTTCTAAAACTAAGAAGTTCAAACTAGTACTAGGGAGAATTGTTTTGCCATCATCAGAATCTATCCTCACTTTCTATTCATACACGCATGCACATTCCTCTCCCAGCAGTGCACCTGGAAGTCTGAAGCTAGTTCATTGACCCCTGACGCTGAGAAAGAAAACTTGCTGTGCCACATTTCAGCTGACTTTAAGTCTTCTGAGACTGGAGAGGCAAAGAGAGGGGGCAGTCCACTGTAAGCCATTACAACAAAGCAGGTGAAATATAATGAAGCATGAAGTAGGTTTGTGAAAGCAGAGATTGAGTATTCACTGTAAATTTGTTGTATATAAGGCATAGACACCAAATCTACAGCACCAAAACATAGCAAGAGATGTAACAGGAAAAAAAGTATTTTTATTAATGTATGAACAATAGAGTTTGCACGTGATTTATCAGGCACAGGAGATCAGGTTGACTTGATAATTCTATGGGCCTGGAAGGGAAGATGAAGTCTGTGAAAGAAAGAGAGACATGGGGAATAAATAAGAGCTGATGTGGGGAAGAATATAATGGGTCATTTTTTCAGGAGGTCAAACAAAGTTTCTGCATGCCAGACATGTGGCAGCCCTCTACAAGGAAAATCAGTGGGTCAAGAGTAATGGAAGAGACTCCTGACTTTTAGTCCTACTACTTCCATGGAAGTCAGCTTCTGGATTTACTGAAAACCCCACCAAGCATGTTTATTCCTGCCATGCAGACAAAATCAAACCTCAAAGGTTAATCTAAAGCAAAGAATTTTCATTTTATTTCAACGTACTATGCTGAATTATATGCACTATTTATGGGATGTAAGGAACACTAAATTGGCTACAACATGATAGAAACACTGTTGTGTTTCTGACCTTCTAATGTGAGCAATTTAATTAAAGACTCACGAAGGCCTCCTAATTAATTCTGATGCAGACCTACAAATTGGAACTGCAGTGATTCCTTGTCAGCCAGGAGACTGTAGCTAAATTTTTATGCTATTCAAGGAAGCCTCGTATCACTCATGTGAGCCATGACATTGAAGCCTTGCCCAGGACAGAGTGAATATGGACCATCAGTCCCCATGACAGTGTCTTGTTCTGCAATCTCAATTAATTTGTAACACTGACTGATTACTGATTAATCATATTCTCCATGTAATTTTCTTTTAGGAAAATCCTAACGACCTGCGGTTTTGGTTGGGAGACATGTACACTCCAGGTTTTGACACTTTATTGAAAAAGGAAGAGAAACAAGAGAAGCATTCAAAATTTTGTTGTATGGGTCTGATTTTACTTGCCATCATCTCCATCTTGGTTGCCATAGTGACTATTATTACTTTTTTCACCTGAGGAAACTGCAGCAGTCAGAGCTACTTTAAATTTCCTAAACTTTTTTCTGATAAACATTTGAAACCCCCCCAAAAAATAACAAAAACAATGTACATGCAGTGTGAATGGATTGTTGATTGTACTATTAAATGTAATTGTCCTGAAGAACGTGAATGTCGGATGTGGCATTCTGGCTTCTCCACTTTGTTCTATAAAAGCTTTGTAAGAGTTCCAGCCTGAGCTTTGTCCTTTGGGAAGCAGGAATTCTGAGGACCATAATCACAGAACAGTTACTATATGCAACCCACATTAAATATCTTCATAGGGAGCAAACAGTATCAAAAATTGTCAGCAGCTTTGTTTTCATGCTTAAACTATATTAACCTTGTTTTAAAAATACTGTTAACTCTTTACCACCTCATCCTCCTGCAATCACCAGAAAAGTTTGAGCTGATAATTTTTTTTTTAACCAACTGCTGGGTAGCTGGGATAAAAATCTTCTGGTTGTGCTGCCAACTGAGTTAGATTCATTCTCTGTTTTATTTTCCTATATTTCTGTTTAAGTCAGAAAAAAAGGAAGGAGAGAAATATCTTATTCAAATCTATTCTTATTTCCCCAGTAATCATCTATGATGCCCCAGTTTCAGGCTGCAATTTTAATAGAATTAAACTTGGATAGGTTATAGTTACATAATTAATTACATTTAGATCCAATTTATCCAAATTGGCTATGACCCCTGGTGGCAGTTAGTGTGTGTATATTGCCAACCATGGCCTAGTTGGGGGTCCCTAGGAAAGCAGAGGGAATACTGCTAAGAGAACAGAGTTTGAAGCCTAACTGCTACTTGCTAACAGACTCTGGCAAGTTATTCTCTCAGAGAAGGAATGATATTACCTGCCCAACAGGGCTGGCCAAAGGACCAAATACAAACCAGGTATGAACAGTATCTGGCTCGAAATAAACAGTTGCTTAGTTAAAGGCTGTTGTTATTATTAATTTGTGCTAGCTAATTGACAACCTGAGTTTACCTTCCATTGTCTGCAGATACCTGGGGACATGGTTGTAGATACAGATGGGGAATCAAGTCATCACCCTGCCCTTCCTTCTAGAATATCCTTTCCTAAACCCCTCATTCCCACTCCTTTCTCATCTATAAGCAACCCAGCCAAAGGCTGCCTTAAGCAAGAAATAAAAGAGGAACTTTCTCTTCTTCCCATGAGCCTAAAGTCAGATTTTGTTCTTTGATATTGCCATATCATTTTGTTGTATTTGTCTTAAAGATGCTTGAAATAAAGTACAGTAAAAGACAGTTTGGGATGGGCGTGGTGACTCGCGCCTGTAATCCCAGCACTTTGGGAGGCCAAGGTGGGTGGATCATGAGGTCAGGAGTTCGAGACCCGCCTGTCCAACATAGTGAAACCCTGTCTCTATTGAAAATAAGAAATTAGCCAGGGTGCGGTGGTGGGCGCCTGTAGTCCCAGCTACTTGGGAGGCTGAGGCAGGAGAATCGCTTGAACCTGGGAGGCAGAGGTTTCAGTGAGCCGAGATTGTGCCTCTGCACTCCAGCCTGGGTGACAGAATGAGACTTCCATCTCAAAAAAAAAGACAGTTTTACTGAACAATAAAGTTGTTGTATAGAAAAAAAAAATGGTGTTAGCCATATTTGTAGTCCCTGATTCTTTATTCCTCTTCTCCTCCATGGAAGGTTCTAGTCCAATTTAAAATTGAATTACAGGAGAATTTTAAAACTGAATTACATGAAATAAAGTATCAGGGACTTTTTCACTCTCACTGTGGACATAGATATTACCTGCTATTACTCTGCCTTCAAAGCTTACCTGCCCGAAGTTTACCTCTAAGGGATTCACAACATGTTCAGGTCTCTGCCACACATGGAAAGCATCTGTGCTGCATTAGGTTACATGTGGCTGCGTAGGATTAAGCATGGGTAAGGCTTTCTAAAGGCAATAAGCAGTAGTAACCATAAAAGTGTAAAGGCTGCTTAACTGAATTCCTGTCTCCCTTGCCCCCAACTCATTACCTTTCTCTTCTGCCTAGTCAATTCTGGTCAAGCACCTAGTATTCTTCTATTCTCCCTATCCCTCTTCTATTCTTATTTATGATACTATCAGTCATTTCTGTTTCATCATAAATGAGTTTATTACTTTCCTACTGCTCCCAAATCACCTTCATTTTTAGCTTTTGATGTAACTGTAATATCAAAATATATTATTGTCCTCCACTGAATTAATATTATGCATCTACATGTGAGGGCAACTTATAAATAAAGAGAATTTATCTCTGTTTACACTCAAAATAATACCTTAAAGGAAGTTCCAATTTCGCCTTCTACAGTACAGGTTTTTGTGAAAATGGAACAGAAAGAGCATAAAGTCATGGAAAATGCAGAGGCGACGGCCCTAAACAGGCTTATGTTGAAATCGGCTTTCTTGAGAAGTTCTCATCCAGATTCAATGAACTAGTGTTTCTAAAATATTTAAATACAATCCTTCTCACATAACAGGTAGTCAATAAATAATAATTATTATTATCTTCAACACTGACTATTTTAGTAACTTTTTTTAACCTAAATTGGGGTGAGAACACCTGGCTCCACCAGTTCTTAAGTTATAATAATTTAGTTTCAACAATAATCTTCCCCAGGTTTTTGTACACACCCTCCCCTCAAAGTTATCTTGTATATTTTTGCTTTGTTTTTGTATATTAGGTGAGTGTGTGGGAGGCCTAAAAGCAAATAGTATATTAAATTTTCTTTCAAAAAAATTCCAACTGTGCATACTTTTTAAAAGTGCTCCTCCCAGACTCAACAGGAGAATTAAAGCTGTTTTTTTTTTTTTAACATAATCCATTAATGGCCGTTCCAATTATATTTATGCTGCTGTCACCTAGCGGAGAGTTTAGTGAGGGGAAAACAGAAAAGGAAACGACGGCCTGGATCCATTTCTCCAGAGTGCACTACTGCCATCTGGTGGTCATATTTACCATGTCTGCCCTCAGCTCATGAAAAAGCATTTTACCAAAGGGACAGAATAAGGTACCTCTGTAATTACAATCAGTATGATGGCATGACTAAGAGCACCTGCAACCACTAATTTTGATACCCTCTCATCTTTCAAGAAAAGAAATATCATTGGCCTAGAGTCATACTGACACTTGAAGGCAGAGCTGTAACCCTCAGCATCAACTCTTGACTGTAAGACACATCTCACGCTAAAGCTAAAAGCTAGAGGAATGCCTGGAAACTGTCCCATTTCTAATCTCTTCAAATGGGTTAAAGTTTTAGGAATATTAAACAATTTACTGCTTGTTTCAGAGTTGATATGATCTCCTGAATTTCTACATTTGTAGCGCTCTGTATTGAGGGTGTCTTTAAATATTATTTTTTAGTAATTTTTTACTAAAATTAAATGTTAATAATATTGAATGATTAAATACTATCTGTATCCATTGTCTAACACAATTCTTAAGTTCTCCCCTCATATAACTGAATAAATATAATTTTATTGTATCTGAGAAATAATTTTTAAAACTGTAATTAGACAGGGCCCTTAAATCTCAACACCTCTGAATTTCTACTTCCAAACCCACATGAGTCTAAGAGAATATACATTTTAGAGGAAAGACAACTTTTTTGGTTTCTTCCAAATAATCACTTAGTCCAGGCTGTTGCCTAACGTGAGGTGAGAATATTCAGCCAAAGTGAACGACTTCAGAAACCGAACCCAGATTTCTGCCAGAGCAGTTGTTCTGCTTTCATGTTATAGACACGGTGACTCATGCACCTCATCCAGTTTCCCTCGTTTTGCAGACTGTTGCAAAGGGAGTGTATAGGACTTCCTTGTGTGCATTTTGAGCTCTTCCCGCATTCCTGGCTCCATTTTATAAAGTGCCCTTTCCTGCCTCTTCCTTCCTGCCTTAAATATACGGTAGCCCACAGTGCTCTGTCTTTCCTCAATGCCTTATACTTACTATATAGAACTATATAGACTACATAGAGAATTGTGTGTCTGCGTTTACAATATATGCATATATACATAAATAAAATCCAAATGCAAAAGACTTTTTTCTTTTTTTTGAGACAGAGTCTCGCTCTGTCGCCCAGGCTGGAGTGCAGTGGCGGGATCTCCGCTCACTGCAAGCTCCGCCTCCCGGGTTCACGCCATTCTCCTGCCTCAGGAGCCCGCCACCACGCCCAGCTAATTTTTTTTGTGTTTTTAGTAGAGATGGGGTTTCATCGTTTTAGCCAGGATGGTCTCGATCTCCTGACCTCGTGATCCGCCCGCCTTGGGCCTCCCAAAGTGCTGGATTACAGGCGTGAGCCACCGCGCCCGGTCAAAAGGCTCTCTTTCAAAATAAACAATTGAAATAAATATTGTATCTTTTAAATAAAGAAATTCTTTTTTCAGTATAAAATGTTCTCTGACTAGATTTCTTTAGCGAGAAGGAAAGAGATTCAAGGCTTACACAGTTTTGCTTATCCTGTATTCCATTTTTAAGTTACTGACAAGGAAAAGGTAGTAATTCTTCTTATGCTAATTAAACTGCTGGGTTTTTCTCAGCTATAAGATAAGCGCTAAAATCTCTCACATTAGAATTAGTTTCAAAGTTGGGAAGTATTGTTTAGATAAAATTACTTGAATAATAAAACAATGGTTAGGCCAGATTCGAAGTATATCAGTAAATATAAATGAAACAGCAGTTAAGTGTTTCTTTCTTAAAAATACATTATTTTAAAGGCTGAAATATTTCTAACCAATACTTAATAGAATAATTTTATTGTTCCTGCTGCAAAAGGAACAATAAAATTTTTTTTTTTTAAATATAATGATCACAAACCACTTTCATGAATTGCAAACCCAGGAAAAAAGTTTTATTTTGCTTATCATTAACATATAAATGCACAAATTTTAGAGCTGTTTTTCCAATTTATTCAGGAAGATTCTTGACAAAGACGCTGTCCTTGATCTAATGCTAGTTAAACTCCCGTGAGTGTCTCTCTGACTAGGCTCTGGATCTTGGGTTATGTCCATGGTTGGCTTATTCCACTTTTGGCAAAAATCTTGCTAAGTCAGTTTAGGGTAAATCTGACTACCCTCTATACGATATCTTATCACCCCGGCCTTCCTTCAGTGAAAATCCTGTTAGGTCAGTGTAGCAAAATATTACCCTACTCTTAGTAATATTCCATCCACCAAAGCCTGACTATTCTCCTTAGCTACAAGTCTCCATTTTTCCTTACCATATTCAGAGTAGAGACTGATCTCTCTCTTCTACTATAAAACTCCATTGCAGAAGCCTCCCTTGAATAAAGTCTTCTTTGCTGCCTTTAACATATGTCATAAACAATTTTTCCTTTAACATTCCCAGTGGATGCCCATGGACAGCAGTGTCCCATACGACCCCATGCCTGCTGCCCATCCCCCTGAACATTTCCATCCTGGCCTTATTAAGAATTCAACAGAAATAGTTGTATCTTCTACACTGTGTACTTTTTAAAACCCTGCCACTTCTACAAGCTATTTCATCTCAACTGTAATCTTGAGAGATAAGTGTAAAAGCCGTATTTTACAAGAAGAGATTGAGGCTCGGGGACATCAAAAGACTTGTCAGAATCAAATTGCCATGAGGGCTTAGATCTACTAAACCTGTTCTGACTATTCTTTCTGCTAAAGTTTTTATTTTCTCATGGCTATAGTGGGGGTTTGATATGGTCCAGCTGTTGAGGAAAACAAGGGAAGTGCGTCTCTTCTCCTTCGCCCCATAGCTATACATACACTCAGTTCCAGTCTCCAAGTGAGTACAAAAAGACCCTGCTTCAATAAGGGAATACACAGTTATGCTCAGAATCCCAGTGAATCTGAATGTCATACGCTTGTACCATTTTGTAATTTAGGTTCGTGGGGCTTCTTTATAAGGTAAAAAATTAAGTGACAGACTCTATGATTAAGAATATCTATGAGTTAATTACTCTTTCTTAGTAAGTGTTATGGATAGAATGCCTTTCCCTTATGACAATGTTCCAGAGTACAGGATCTGATTTCTCTAACTTTGCCTGAGATTGTCCCTAAATTAGATGTCAGTCCCAGGAAGCCCCAATGCCTCTGTGTCAGGAAGGACTTTGGCTTCAGAGGAGCTGACATCAGACCCACGCTGAAGAACCTCACCTCTGGGAAACCTGCAGGTCTGCGTCGTCTGCATCAGAGGTTTGGTGCGATGAATCCCTCAAACATACATTCACTCTCCAGTGTGCTACCATGTAAGGCACCTAGTCATAGTTTGGCAACAGAATTTGCTCCCAGAATTTTCT